CCGCTGCCAGAAAGGCCGAGCCGGCCCGGCGCCCGCCGCCCACAGCGCCCCCAGGCGGCGAGACGAGGAACACGCAGGCCGACTTTGGGCACTCAGTGAGTGAATGGGAGAGGGGGCGCTGGGTACCAGATTCCGCAAGAAAAACGCAAGTGACCACTTGAATCTCAGATGAACAGCTACTAGTTCTCAACAGTCTTACGGAGATATAATTAGCCTACTGTACAATTTACATAAAGGGTAAATTTACCCCACCACATTGTTTCTTTCCAGTAGTGTATTGAACCCAACCCTTTATGCAATAAGCTGCATCCCCAATCCTTTTTATTTTATTATCTTTTTAAAAATTTCTGATATAATTTAATAAAAATGTTTAAAAAAAGAAACAATGTGAAGAAGCCCAGACTGCTTGTTATACAGAGGGCCAATGTGAAAGCTGTGTCACAGGCAGTTGTTCATGGAAGGGCTGCACAAAGGGTTCAAACCAACTGTTAAGAAATATTTTTTTCTAAAAAAAACTGCCTACAAGATGACTTTTCTTCTGATGGATAATGCCCCAGCACAACTTCCAGTCTTGGTGTATGATATGCATGTTGAATATGACTTCATACCTGTCAAGTTCTTCACCCACAACATGGACAAACAAGCGATCTGCAACTCCAAGATGTACGTAAAGGCCCTCTTCACCTTAATGTCACTGAAGAGACATCCTTGACTCTGGAAGAGACATTTCAAACATGCTCCACTCCGTTAACCTCATTGACAAAGCCTGGGAGGATGACGCTTACCAGACCTTGGACTTAGCCTGGAGGAAACCATGGCCACAATGTGTCATTGAATATATTTATGAGTCTAATCACAGGTAGTGGAGGATACTGTGACCCTGGGCAAGAGTATGGGTCTGGAAGTTGATGGTGTGGAGATAGAGAGCTTGTTGAGGACCATAAGTAGGAGATGATGATGAAAGAACTTGCTGAGCTCCAGAGTGAGATGCAGAAGGCCCTTGTTGAGGAGCATTTTGCTTGTCTCAGAGTTTTTCACTCTTTACATAGTTTTTGCATATTATTCATGATACGTTTTAATTGGTGCTGCTCTACATAATATAGTAATTGCTTCCTCACTGATTTGTTTCAGTGATCCTCCTTAATCCAAAATTTTGCTTCCTCTAATTTCATTTACCAAGATGTAAGATCCTGTAGGAAAGTTTCCTTTGTGTCCTGCATCTTGTAGACCTAGAGGGGCCAGGGCCAAAGTATTGACTGTCCTCATAGCCCAGTTAACATTTTAGTTTTGGTCTCCAAACTCTGACCAGTAATCTTGGTGGAAAAACTCCAAAGTGATATAGGGGGAAGAGATATAACTCCAAAACCTGCTAGATATCAGAAAGACAAGTTCATAGGAAGAAAAGGGCTAAAGGTGGAGGGAAAGTGGGAAGGGTAGGGGAAAGATAAGGGAAAAGAAAAAAATATGAGAAAATGAAAAAATGGAAATAAAGTGTTTGTAAATGGGGAGGATAGGAGGGGGTGAAGGGTAGGGAGAAGGGGAAAAAATGAGAACCAAGACCTGTCATGTAAAGGTACAAGATCCCAATGATAAATGTAATGTACTATATACCTAAAATGTACCAATAAACTTAATGAGAGAGAGAGAGAGAGAGAGAGAGAAAGAAATGCAAGTTCATGTTCTCTGAACTCATAGAATGAATTTTAGGAACAGAGGTTAAGAGTAGGAAAAATTTCTTGAGGGAAAGAAAGCTTCTGTCTAAGAGAGACAGAGGGAGACCGGAAAGTGGTTGGCCCCCCTACCCTTTTTAATTCTAAACTTTGAAGGGGGTGAAGGGAGGGCAGGGACAACGGGAAAAAATGAGAACCAAGACCTGCCATGTAAAGGCCAGATACCATTTTTAATTCTAAACTTTGAAGGGGGTGAAGGGAGGGCAGGGACAACGGGAAAAAATGAGAACCAAGACCTGTCATGTAAAGGTACCAGATCCCAATAATCAATGTAATTGTACTGTATACCTAAAATGTACCAACAGACTCAATTAAAACAATTTAAACTTTGAAACAAGGGCTTGAACTTTCAAGCCTCCTGCTTCAGCCTCCCAGAACGCTTGGATTACAGGAATGTTAAAGTATCACATTTACTATTTTAAGTGTATTATACAGTAGCATTCATTACATTGACAATGCTGTGCAAATCATCACACTGTCAAGTTTTCCCCACTCCCACCCCAACCCCGGTAACAACTAATAACACGCACTAGTTGGAGCATGATGCTATTATAAAAAAAGTACTGTTTGTATGACATGCAAATTTACTTAATCGGGGGTCAGGCGTTTGTTCTGGCAGCACTGCCTGCGAGGGAGCGGTAGCTGCGTCACAGCAGTTTATAACACAGCTGCTCCTTTGGAGCCAGCTCTGCGATTCGCAGTGTACTTGGTGCACAAAATGTGAAAAAGTTACGTGTTTCAGGTGCTGGAGCAAATAGCTCGTTACCTGGGGAGAGAAAAGGCCGGGGCCCAGCATAAGACCAAGGGGGAGGAAAGACTCAGAAGCATTAGGAGGATGCTTTGCTATAAGTTTGGTTCTCTTCAACCGCCGGTGTCATTCTGAATTACCAGCCTCTTTCTGAGGAGGTACACTTCAGTATCAGCAGATTCGTCAAAATGCGTAGAAGGAAAAGAAACGCAGGGGAGAAAGTGCGCTTGGCTAGGAAGGTCAACATGAAGGAGCATGGGACCAGCCCCTCGCCTGCCGAGTCTCTTCCGCCCGGCCGAGCAGTCGCGTCAAGAGCTGCGCGCGCGCATGCGCAACGCAGGAGCAGGAAAATGGCGGCCGGGTTCAAGTGAGTATCGCCTTCCGCAGGTAGAGTGGTGTCCGCTTCCCTAAACTTTAGCTGAGAGCCACTCGCCTGCCGCCTGACTCCACCAGGCCCCCTTTCCGCCTCCTCCGAAGCAGCGGGTGGGAGGACGTGGAGATGGTCAGTACCAGGAGAGGGTCTGCTTCCCGCAGGTGAGACGGGAGTGGGACTGTGTACCCCCGCGAGCGCCTCGGTTCCGTGCTCGGCGAACGTGCGGTACCGAAGGGACACTGGTCCGGTCGACCCGTGCCACCCCAGCTCCCCCTCCGCAGTTTATCTCGAAAAGAACTGTACTGTTTTTGGACGGATTTCCTTAAAAGCTTTTTTGTGCTATTCTCCTGAAGCTTATGGACTCCCACAGTAAAGTTTGTAGATGGATAAACTAAGATCCCAAAGTAAACCAATGAGGCCGAAACAGTTATCTTTTCATGACTGTACACCCAGAATTCATATAGGTATAAACTTGTTTAACAACTTTCTTAACAAATCCTGTGGCGAGTATGGTAACTTCTGGAATTTCAAAGTAAGGACGCATTTACACTTTTAAATTCCCATAGTATAAAAACAAAAACATTTATAATTGTGATCTCTGTAGTTAAGGTTGCCGGTACTGCTAATTATGGTTTATTGCCTGCAGTTATAAATTCAGTTATAAATGCAGTTATAAATTGCCTGCAGTGCTAAATTCAGTGAAAATAAAGATGTAACTTTTTTCACGATCACTGACTGTGGTAAGAATCTCTGCTTCAGAACAAGAAAGACAGGATTATTTTAGCACCTGGGTAAATCCTTTCCATGTGCCTAAAGGCTTTGGATCTTGGTCTTCTAATTGTTTAAGGCAGCATTAAGTACAGCAGTGGAATGTGATTGTTGCAAGGGTATCTGCTTCTGATAATTACATGTGACAACATAAATAATCAGAATTCAAAACTGAATTGTGGAGATTTATGCTGCATCATCACACTCAAAATCTTTGCTAGCTTCTGGATTTAAAATTCATTAACTTAACCTTAGATATATTTTTAACACATTGCAGAACAGTGGAACCTCTGGAGTATTACAGGAGATTTCTGGTGAGTAAAGGTTATGTACAAATTATGGCTTTTGATAATATATGTTGATTTTGAAGGCAAAATTCCACCTAATTCATGTGGATGAATGAAGTCTATTGTGTTTCCCTTGGTTATGTAAAATGTCACCTATTTTACTGTAAACAAACATTTAGAAAGAGAACTGCCGACCTGATGGAAGAGAACTTGGTGAATTCCGAACCACAACTGTTAACATAGGTAGGATATATTTTCAATTCAGTTATATGACATTATGGAGCTTTAAAGTCTGCACTGCTTAAAAGTTTTTCAGCCCAATTCTTCATGTCTTTGGAATTCGATGATTTTGTGTTGAGATTTTATTTGTATAATCACCCCTGTGACTGAATGAAAAATTGTAAAGTAATTCTTAAAACACTAACTGTAAATAATAATGCCATTTTAAAATTGATGACTTGAACTTGGAATAACTTTTCATAAGCAGCTGGGAGGGGTAGCAAGATTTTCATGCGTAGCAAACTAAGACTAATTCTATAGCTGTTTTTTTCCCTTTTGACTTTTCATCTTGCTTAAATACTGTATTTATCTTTTCAGGTTCAATTAGTACGGCAGATGGATCTGCTTTAGTTAAACTGGGAAATACTACAGTAATTTGTGGCATTAAAGCGGTAGGTTTAATATGTGTAACTGCTGACATTTGAGTTACCAAATTAGCTTCAAATATTTATTAGATAATAATATACATCTGTAATTCTATTGTAGATTAGACAGGTGTTAAGTTTTTAGTATTTGTTTTAATTTCTCAAGAGCTTTTGCCTGCGAGTATCAGATAATGCAATCTGTTTGATTTTTTAAATTAAAATTAGTATTTATTAGATAATTGAAAAGAAACATTTTGCATCATTACCTTTAGTTTTAAAATTTTGGTTATATTTGAGAAATTCAGCAAGATTTTATATTGATATCCTCTTAGCCAGTGATAGCCTTCAATGTGTAAATGTGTAGACATTTGAGTGCTTTACAAGAAAGGCGTGAAGGGACTAATAGCTACTATTTATTTAGTGAGCACTTACTATGTTCCAGGTACTATTTTAGGTGCTATACAGAATTGTTTCCATTGCCTGTTTAATAGACGAGGTTCAGTAACTTTTCCAGATATACAAGGTGCATAAGCAAAACATAGACCTAAATCTGATTCTTGATCCTGTGCTTTTTTTGACTTCTTTTTACCCTGTGTTACTTAATCTGAGTTCAGAGTCTTTGTTAAAGTTGGGGTGATATCTACTAAGACTGGAGCATTTACGTCTTGAAAGGATTTATCTTAGGGACTTTATTGAATTGTATCATTTGTTCTTCATTAGCAGTCCCTAAGAGTAGGCCCATTCTTCTGCCCATTTGTCAAATCAAGAGGTTCAAAGGGGTTTAAACAACTTGCCCTAGATGTCTCACCCAGTAAATGTGGGTCTGACATCGAACTGGGTTAGTGATTCTACGGCTTTTACTGTCGACCATACTAGTACCTAAATCTGTCAATACCACCTGGGGATTCATTTCACCTTCTTGGGTACCAAATGAGTGGAAGGAGGGTGGGCAGAAAGCCAGTGAATAGTTTTAAAGATACTCAGTCTTGATGCACAGCACTGTGGTGTAGCCCACTTTACTATATTGCATTGGTACCTTGGAAAGCTCATGTAAGGATGGGTGCTAGTCTCCATGAGCTCCTGACAGAATTCCTCGGCACAATAGATGCTCATGAGCTGGTAATGAAGTGGTCTTTGGTGGACCCTTCCGTAAGTGACCACCAAACTGTCTTCACAATTTTTCAGTAGCTTCTTTCAGTAGGAAACATTTGTTTGCTTCTATAGGAATTTGCAGTACCACCAGCAGATGCCCCTGATAAAGGATATGTTGGTAAGTTAAATTATTTTACATAAATACTGTAACCTTTAATTCGAATAAACCCTGGTAGTTGAGCTGAAGAGTATTCCTAACATTCAGAAATAAAGGGAATAAAGCACATTTCTAAAAGTGCTAAAAGCAGAATAGCAAAATAAAAAATGTCATAAATTTAACCTTTGTCAGATTTAGCAGTTATTTATATGTTCATTTGTCATCTACCAGTGAAATAGAATTTTTTTAGACAAAGGGCTGTCACTGCAAACTTCTGTTTACGTAACTCTTGTTTTGAACTATGCAATTTTTTCGTCGTGGACCACTTGTTCTTTATGGTAGGACCCAAAGTACAAAAAGCAGGTGTGAGGAGAGGGACTATACTGTTGCAAATTAAAGCATTTTCAAAAGAACCCAGGAAAATGTGAAAGATTTAGTATTGAGGCCTTATGTAAATTTCTAAAACAATGAAACTGTGTGGAAAAACATGAGAAAAGTATAGATTCTCTTTTTAATCTAAGCCTAGGAGTGGCATCTTACAAAAGCCAAGAAGAATAGTTCCCTTGATTTCTGCTTGCAAGTCTGTCCATAGTCACAATTGCGTTTGCTGTGGATTATAATGCCTTTAGTGCTTCAGAAGGCGAAGTTTAGCTCATAGCTACGGGGTGTTTCTTTCATTCAGTTCCTAATGTGGATCTACCACCCCTGTGTTCTTCGAGATTTCGGTCTGGACCTCCTGGAGAGGAGGCCCAGGTGGCTAGCCAGTTCATTGCAGATGTCATTGAAAAGTAAGACTGGTATGATAAAATTTTACTATCATTTATTTTCAAATAGTTTTTGACCTTTCATTTACTGTGGTCTTTCATCATTTTAAATCAAGTTCGCAGATAATTCAGAAAGAAGATTTATGTATTTCTTCAGGAAAGGTAAGAGAACAATGAGCTTTTATTTATTTATTTATTTATTTTTTGTTTTTTGAGACAGGCTCTCACTATGTAGTTGAAACTGACCTGGAGCTCACTATGTAGCCCAGGCTGGTCTTGATCTCACAGCAATCCTCCTGCCTCAGCCTCCCCGAGTGCTGGGATTACAGGCATGTGCCACCATGCCCGGCTAATGTGCTTTTATGTTGAAGTGTTTTTATGGGGAAAAGTAAACACAATAGTGTTACATATGGAGGGCTTATAAATTTTAGATGGAATTCAGAAAAAAAGTCTTACTCTATAATTATCTAAATAAACTATGTAGTTCATAAAAAAACAAGTTCAACTAAGTTTTTTTTCTCCCTTGGATCTTTTTTTTTTCCTGTTTTTTTGAGACAGGGTCTCACTATATAGTTGAGACTGACCTGGAACTTACTATGTAGTCCAGGCTGATCTCGAACTCAGTGGTCCTCCTGCCTCATCCTCCCGAGTGCTGGGATTACAGGCATGTGCCACCACGCCCGGCTTTCCCTTGGAACCATCTTTTAAGCTAATTTCTCCCCACCTTTTAAGAGAAAAATGAATTTTTCTTCTTTATAGCAAGTTAATTTTTGATTGTGCTACAGGGATTATGTTAAGATCTAGAGAGGCTTTTCTTGTTAGGCTGTATACAAATTAGCACTGTAAAAGCAAAATATATTTCATTTATTAAGGTTTTTGTGGGAAAGTATAGTTTGAATTTTATTTAGGGCTTTCAAAAGCATTTCCCGCATCTAATCTAGCAAGGAGAAAGGGAAATTCCCTCTACAGCTGAACCCCATGAGGGAAATGGAGATTTCTGTCACTTGTCATTTGGTAGTCATTCCAGCTTTTCAACCAACATGTCCACTTTTTAAAATTTCTACTTTATAAGAGCATTTTAAACAGCTTTTGAGCCTTGAAATGTATCTTGTCTAGCCAAAGGTTCTATAGTTCTAAGCAAATAACATTTAACCTCCAGAAGATTTAATCTCTTTTTGTGTAAACTATTTTAGCTCGCTTGGGTTCTATACTGTGATCTCATTTGCCTTGACTATGATGGGAACATTTTGGATGCCTGCACATTTGCTTTGTTAGCGGCTTTAAAAAATGGTAAGTAGCTTTAATAAAAGGCAGCATTCCTCCAATTGAGTTGGAATGTTCTATTTTTGTGGCATATTTAATGTACATTTGCTCAATGAACTGTCAAGGTTTTTTTTGGTACCAGGGATCGAACTCGGTCCTTGCGCTTGGGAGGCAGGTGGTCGAACCACTGAGCTAAATCCCCAGCCCCTCAAGGGTTTTTACTAAGAGTCACCAATCAAGTGTTCCTAAATTAACTTACTGACATGATTTTCCAAATATACTTTGAAATTTTGTATTCTCTAGTTGAATACCTTCTAGAGTTGACCTCACTATACCTGTTTGAATTGGTGAAGATAGATATACGAGTCTTCTTTGAGTTTTTATGTGTTGCCTGGAAGAGTGGAATGGATTTGTTTTTACTGTAAAGCCATAAATCTCACCTTTAATGGTAAAAGTTCCTCAGTGGGTAGGCTGGTGGTTTGTTAGGATTCCAGGAACCTATACTTATTCTGAATATTGCATTGCTGAGTTGACAGTACAACTGAAGATGTGATGAAACAGCAGTCTTACAGTACAGTAGTTAAAAGCAAAGGCTTAAGTTTGAATCATATCTATCATTGTGCTTAAATTTCCTAATCTAAATAATAAAATGGGGATGACAGTACTTTGTAACTGTTGGTGAGTGAATTAATACAATGAACATGTAAAAATGCTTAAAACAGTGCCTGGCATATAGAAAAGGGCTAGACATTTGATTTCTTAAACAAGACAGAGGAAAAAAATGAATTAAAGGTCAGAAACCTTTATAATAGACTTAATCTGCTTCTTTGCCCTTTTTCTAGTACAGTTGCCTGAAGTCTCTATAAATGAAGAAACTGCTCTAGCAGAAGTTAATTTAAAGAAGAAAAATTACTTAAATATTAGAAATCACCCAGTTGCAACTTCTTTTGCTGTGTTTGATGAGTAAGTTAACCAAACATTGAAAGATTTCTACATTCAAAGTTAAAGTAATGGTTATAACTCTTGAGAGAAATGCCTACAGTGACCATATATTCTAGTTGCTGTGGACATTTTCTTTTCTTTTTTTCTTTTGAGACAGGGTCTTGCTACATATTTTAGGCTGGTTTTGAATTCAGAGTAGCCTGGGTTCAAAACTCGTAGCAATCTTCCTGCCTCAGCCTTCCAAGTGCTGGGATTCATAGGCATGCACCACCATGCCTGGCATAGCCTGGACATTTGAGTCTTTGCACACTTATCTCTGTCAACCCTTACACTTCATAAGCATCGTGATTTGGATGATTAATTCTCTACTCACTTCTGTGTTCCTTGGTTTACTTACTCCAATGCAATCTTGTGATATTTTTGTGGGTGTGTTGCTGGGGATTAAACTCAGAGCTTTATGCATACTAGGCAAGCACATTACCGCTTAACTATATACAATATATATGTATACACTATATATGTGATATATATATATTATACTATATAGTATATATTTACTATATACATACTATATAGTATAGATATATACTATATACAATATATATATATATATTATTTTCAATTCTTTCACTAAGGGTGTAGCTGAAGCTATATTCAGTGTCTGCCTAGGACTTTAATATACTAAAAAATTTAAGAGCAGATTTTAAAAAAATTGTCAGATTTTAGGTTGCTATTTTTCCTACCAGTTCTAGTCTAGCTCCTTTATACCTAAACTAAAATGCAGGTAATACATTTAATATTCTTTTCAAGTAAAAGGTGTTCTATGGATTTGATAACGTTTCTTTCTTTTTTTTAATAGCACTTTGCTAATAGTTGACCCTACTGGAGAGGAGGAGCATCTGGCAACAGGAACCTTAACAGTAGTAATGGATGAGGAAGGCAGGCTCTGTTGTCTTCATAAACCAGGCAGGTTCCTGCTACCCCAGTTTCAAGCATATGGAACTGAAAACTTAGTGTGAAACATGTATTAGAGTGGGCAAATGGAATGTAGCAAATCTTATTGCTTATGTAACTTAAGTTTACTAATTTATTTGCTATCTGTATATCAGTGGTTCTCAATATCTAGCAGTCTCTATTGTAGGTCCTGTAACGTAATTTGCAAATCTGGAGGTCATACCACTGATAGACAGTTTCCTTTTTTTTTTTGGCTCTGTAATTTGGCATGACCTTGATGTTTTATAAAAGAACTTAAGACATTGAAAGTATTGGCTCAATGATTTTTCAGGTGGAAGTGGACTGACTGGAGCTAAACTTCAGGACTGTATGAGCCGAGCAGTTACAAGACACAAGGAAGTAAAAAAACTAATGGATGAAGTAATTAAGAGTATGAAAACCGAATAAACAATCACCACATTTTCAAAACAGATTTGTAAAAACTGTATTTGTTAGACTGCACAAACTTTTTATACTAAATAAATATCAAACTACACTCTTCTGAAAGGATGTTTGTAATATTTCCTCACCTATATATATATATATATATATATATATATATATATATATTATGTACAGTAAAACTATTTTTAAAAAGCAACAACCTAAGCAAACCAACCTAGTTCACTGAACTATTAGTAGTTCATTAAACTATTTCCCTGTTTTTATTTAAAAATCATAGGTTGTACTTTTGTATAAAATTTTGTACATTTAGCAGTGTAAAATATGGACACATTAAAAAAAGATGAAGTAAAAACTCAGTTCTTTTGATTCAATGCTCTTGGGATTTTAAAGGAGAGAAAGAAAAAAGAAAACTCAGAATTTGGGAGTGGTTGGAGTGCCTCTCTTCATTTTACTTTTTGACTGGTTGTCTGTATGTTGATGATGTAGCTGAGCTGTTTGTGCTGCTGCCGCCGCCATAGCCATTTGATGCTGCAAGAATTGCAACTGCTGCAAAAATGAAGGGGAAAGATTCAAGTTAGGTTAAAAACAGGTGTGGAAAGGTGCTGAGAATTCCTGAGAATAATGGCCTGAAAGGGAGGAGAGCACCAAGGTAACAAAAAGGTAACACACTGAGACAGTGCACAGTCAAACAGCACCAGTGGCACAGAAAGAAGCCTGCTGAGGGCTTTTAAATGATTCTTGACAAACTTCAGAATTGTTACTTTGCCCTGCCAGTCTAAACTGCAGTAACTCAGCAACTTCAGTTACCATTTTCTTATACAATGATAGTTTACAGCAATATAGGACCATTGTGAATGTCAAGATATTCAAGTATAATATTCCGACTTGCCTTCCTATAACAGTTTTCTATATAAACCGGTATGACATTTAGGAACACTTCTGCAGTACACTATTTCAAAGTTAACCATTGGCACTTAGAATTATTTTAAAATACTGCCAACCAGAAAAATGTATATTAATGTGCCACCAGCATTTTAAGACAAGTTCTAAATTAGGAAAAGAGGCTTAAGTAAATGTACAAAATATATTCAGTGCTCCAAGTTGACTGGCTAAGATGTCAAACTTTTAAATAAAATTTACTGTTATTTACCAGTTACTGTATAGTCTTAGTAAAATTAAAAAAGATATTTTGAGGTACTTTTGGAGCTGAGTATCTTTAAAAAAATGTAATGCGAGTGAAGTTGCTGGATTACTTGGATCTGCTGCTGCTGCTGCTGAAAGGCAGAGGAGAGCTGGAGTCTGTGCTGAGGGAGGCTTTGCTCAGGTCTGTTCTCGGCAGAGCCAAGCTGAGACAACACTACAGAGAGGAGAAGGGAGAGCAGGCCAGTCAAAAAGTGAAGGCTACCAGGTTAGGAAAGGACAACACAGAAAATGAAATAGTAGAAAAGTTAGCAGTATGATTAATTCTAAGTGTCAAATCACAGACATTTCAGAATAAATTTAGTCTCCTGTTGAAGGTGTCACGATTATGGAACTTTCTGGACACAAAGGGAGTGCACATGTGCCAAGCCCCCCCCCGACTCTCAGTGAAATTTGATTATTGGTGCTATTTTAAAAATAACTACCTCTTGTATGATATAGGGCACATAATTTTAAAAACATACCCAGTGAAATAGGAAAAGAAATGGAAGAAACCCAAACTATCACAATGACAAAATTTGTAGACAAGTGTTATAATAGAGATAAATATCAGACTATTAACAACAATGGTGGCAAACAATTTTAGCTGATGAGACCATGTTTAAGCCTTTCATATACAAATGAAGTTTAAGGTCTATATGATTAAACATGTTCATGACAGGGCTGTAATTCCTATGTCTTGCTGCTGCTTGGCTCTGAACCACTGGTGGTTCAAGCTGGCTGAAATGTGTTAAGTGACTAATCAGTGATAAATCTGGAGCCAGAAACATTCCCATTTTTTAGCCTAGAGTCCTTTCCACTAAATTTACCTTATTGCCATTTTAGAAAATTTATAATTTGTATGGTTCGTAGTGGGATATAGTTATGAACTTCCATTTGGAAGTTAGCTCTTAATTAGAACTTTAGGGAAAAATTACTTATTTTCAAAATGAAAACCTTGATTCTATGCTAAAGAACTTCTAAATTCAGGAATGGGGGATTATACAGAAATGCAAAAGTATCACAGCCTAATGTGACAACTCATAATGTTGACATGTTCACTCATTAAATCCTAAAATTCTATCCTAGCTCTCTTATGAATGTAGCTTATTGGTTTTAAATAAAAGTGAAATTAGAATGATTGTTTTCAATTGACAAAAATAATCATTATTATTTGGTTAAATATTTACTGCTAGAAGCAGTGTGTAGTCCTTCAGTTTAGTTTCACTTTTTACAAATGGTTTACAGAAGTTATTGTCAGAAAATGTAAGGTATCAGAATGAAACAAAAAATTGTGCTGTCTAGGAACGTGTAGCTCAAGTACCTAAAGAAACTGAAAAGTGAAGATATTATAAACACTGAAAATAGCTTTGGTAGCTTACAAGCTAGGTAATCAAAATTTTGTCAGTAAACTGTAACAGGAAAACAATTGCTATATTGTATTAAAAGCTCTCAACTGTTAAATGAAAAAATTCTCAGTCATTAGTAAATCTACTTAATAGTTCACAAATTAAATATAAACTCACTTTTTCTTGATTAGTTTGCAAGGAAAGGAAAAAAGTAAGTGGCAAGATTCTATATACATTACTTTTAGTACAATTAGCATATAAAATTACGAAGATACGTACCAGCTGCCTGTGACTGCGTAAAGCCTCCTACTCCAGTAAGGTTAATAACAGCAGGATGCTGAGCAGATAAGGCCTGTTCTTGGCTAGCTGAACCTTGTTCAGAACTCTGAATTAAAAAAATAATAAATAACTTATAAAAACAGGAAAAATAATTTTCAGATTGTGAAAATAATTTTTTCTTGTATAAGAAAAAATATATCGAAAGGGAAGCAATACTCCCAAATTAATTCCTGGAATCAAGCATTACTTTGATTCTGAAAGCAAAGACTCAACCAAAAACAAACAAAACAAAACAAAAAAAAAAGAACTAGAGGCCAATCTCCCTAATGAATATAGGTGCAAAAATCCTCAGTAAGATACTGGCAAATAATACAGAGGATCATCAAGATCAAGAGGTCATACACCCTGACCAAGTCAGATTCATCCCAGGGATGCAAGGATGGTTCAACATATAGAAATCAATAAATGTAATACAGTATATTAACAAACGACAAAAATCTCAATAGATGCAGAAAAAGTGTTCGACAAAAATCCAATGCCAACCCATGTTAAAAACCCTAAAAGAAATTTGAATAGATGTTCTTTATCTCAATCTCAAAAAGGCTATCTATGAAAAACTAATAGCCAACATCATACTAAACCAAAATATTTCATGCTAAAATCAGGAACAAAGCAAGGATGTCCACTATCACCACTGTTATTCAATATAGCTCTAGAGAGCTGGAGATTTAGCTCAGTGGTTCTGCTGCCTGCCTTGTAAGCACAAGGTCCTGAGTTCATCCCTGGTACCAAAAAACAAATAGTATAGTACTGGAAACATTAGTCATAAAAATAAAGATAATAAAGAAAGTTAAACTTATTTGCTGATGACATGATATTCTAAATAGACCCCCCCAGAAAAATGCTAAAAATCTTCTAGGCTTAATTGACACATTCAGTAGAGTGGCTGGATATAAGGTAAACACTCAAAAATCAACAGCCTTCTTGCACGCAAATGACAGACTCACCGAGTGAGAAATTGGGGAAACAATTCCCTTCACAATAGCATCCAAAAAAATGAAATATCTAGGAATCAATCGAACAAAGGATGCAAAAGACCTCTACCTTGAAAACTCAGCACTCTGAAAAACAGGTTGAAGAGGATATAAGAAAATGGAAAGATATCTCTTATTCCTGGGTAGGAAGAACCAATATAGTGAAAATGGCCATCCTTCCAAAACTTCTTTATAGATTCAATGCAATACTGATTGAAATCCCAACAGTATTCTTCATAGAACTAGAGAAAACAATCCAAAAATTCATTTGGAACCAGAAAAGAACTAGAATAGCAAAAGCAATTCTAGGCAACGTAGACATGACAGAGGTATGACAATCTCCAACATGAAGCTATACTACAAAGCCACTCTGACAAAAACAGCATGACACTGGCAAAGAAACAGACTCAAGGATTAGTGGAATACATGAGAAGATGTAGACAAAACTGCAGACACTTAAGTCACCTCATCTCTTGACAAAGGAACCAACCACTCTCACTGGAGGAAAAGATAGCCTCTTTAATAAACGGTACTGGAAAAACTGGATTTCAACTTGCCACAGATTAAAACTATACTCATATCTTTCACCATGCAGTAAACTAATATCAAAGTGGATCAAAGATCTAATTATTAAAACAGAAACACTAAACTTGCTGGAAGAGAGGTTAGGCAGAACTCTTGAAGACACTGGCATAGGAAAAGACTTTATGAACAAAACCTCAGCACGGGAACTAGCACATAACAACTGGGATCTCATCTTATTAAAAAGCTTCCGCACTGCAAGAGAAACCACCAACAGAGCTAAGAGACAACCTATAATGTGGGAAAAAATTTTACCAGCTGTTCCTTACACAAAGGAGTACTATCTAGAATATATAAAGAACTTTAAACAATCAGACTCCAAATTTAAAGACACAATTAAAAAATGGGTATCTGAAATTAAACATTTCCCAAAGAAGTAAAACCTGCAAATAATCATTATGAAAAATTGTTAAACATCATTGGTCATTCGAGAGATGCAGATGAAAACAACACCGAGATTCCACCTCACTTCAGAAAGAATAGCTGCTATGAAGAGATCAACAAATGCTGGTTGGGGCTGTGGGAGTGCAGACTGGTGCAACCACTGTGGAAATCAACATGGAGGATTAAGGTCCCATTTGACCCAGCTGTTCCCCTTCTGACTATCTTCCCAAAAGAATTAAAAGAATCATACCACAGTGATATATACTAAAACTTGGAAACAGCCCAATTGCCCATCAACTGGA